ACTATTTAAACAATAGAGTGTTTCTGTCGAGGAACTATCGGCTGATAGTTGCCCCGCGGAAATTTGATGTTCTTAAAACAAATATGCTAGTTTTAAGAACATCAAATTTCCAAGGGGCAACTATCAGACCGATAGTTCCGAGACATAAACACTCTATTGTTTTTATTGTTCACCACTAAATTTTCTTCCGCGCCTACAGCTTGTCACAAATGTCAATAATTCGCAACCGTACATTGGCTAAATAATACGTTATACCTGTCAGAATTGAAAAGTCACTGTTTTTCCGATCTGCCTAACTTCGCGGCCGTCAAACTATTCAAAACTTTTCACGGATGAGTACTATCAATCCAGGTATTTTCCGTAGACGAGCACTATCCATCCGGGTATTTTCCGCGGGCGGGCACTATGGGCTGATAGTATCTCTCCACGGATGAACACTATCGCGTCACGTGATCGATTTAAACCAATAAGAACCGGATAAAATTTAGTGGTGAACTATAATTAGCGATAGTTCAATCACTTTTAGTTTATTTTTTACCAGTCAGTTTTATGACCATCCGTTTCTCAGCTTGACTCACCACGATACAATCAAGTCCCCGAAAATTTTTTTTCCACATTTACCGTGAAAATATCCTCCAGTCTTCTGTAGTCAGGTGGACGCGGTCACACCTCGAATTTAACATATAGCTAATGTTATTCACCTTTATTACACGTTCCTCTTAGCTTGTATATTTACAAATGAAAAAATATGTATTCGTATGTAGCTACATCAACTCTACGTATGATGCACGATCCTCGCAGTGGATAGCGCTATTTATGCAATAGCGAAAATCAGACCTGAAAAAAATCAGGCCTGTACGGGACTCGAACCACTGAGAGAAACCACTAAGAGAAAGAAAATAATTTGGTTCACCAAGGTACGCAGCCCTGAATCCTGCTTGAGAACAGATTCATTTATTCTCGGCGCCAATTTTTTTTAATTCATGTCTTAATTAATAATTTTGATGACGAGAAATACGCTCGCCACCTTTCGGACATCTGGTAATAGAAACAAACGTCGGATCTTCGAATACAGCTATCTTATCGTTTGAAAAGTGAGAGAATCAGAGATTGATTTGAATTTTTAGTTCCTGTTTACTACTTTATGCAATCATCAAGCCATTTCCTGAGGGTATCCCATAGTAAACGTGAAATTGACTCTATTTCTTCAAAATCAACCCACTTCCTTCGCGTTGCACATACCGACACTAATCTCCGTCTGATCTGCCATAACGTTTCGCTTGTTTTGCTTCAAAGCTCAAAGTTTTGTAAACCCACCGTTTGCTGATTTGAAAGCTCAATTTTAAAAGTCTGCTATAATTGGACGAATTTCTGTGGGAATTAGAAATTAGAGAAACTCGCAGATGGTTTTTTTCCGAGTAAGAAATATGCTAGATAAGGTAGAACGTGGATAATTATAACTTACCCTGTCCAATATGTTTTTCTTATACCCAAGGCCACAGATTGTTGTTGTTTTTTCTTGGAATAAACGATACCACGAGGAGGTTGGCGACTCAACGGCATCTTCAAGGAAACAACGATTATAGTGATTAGCGTATTTCAGCAAACTATTGCATTTATTACAGTATTTAAACTACTACCGCTTCATTGCTGAAATCAAGAAAATATCACACGCACACCTTTCTTGACTGTAGCCTTCCCCTTCGCTGAGTCGGCTTGCTCATGTAAAATCTAGAGCTCAAATGAATCTCACCGTAGCCGACTAATAAAGTGAAAGTTACCAAAGAGAAAAGAAGAGCAATTTTCGCAGGCCTGATCACAACGGTTCCCATCCATCTTCCAGAAATAATCGAGTATTTCTTCTCAACTCCGGCGATTTCGCTATTCGACACACCTTCACATCTAAGTTGAGCCGTTTTTCCTAAGTTTGGGCTCCTCAATTCCATGGACGTCTCATTAAAATACAAAAGCTCTTTATTTCGCCGATAACTTAGTGGACTACAGGCTGAAACATATCAGACGTTATTGTTTTTGGGTGATTATGTCAGCTCTTTTAAACGTCTGAATACAGAGGCTGCTCATAGTTATTTTCGATAGCATCCAGTTATCAAATGGTCAAGTAATTTTCTGCTTTACCAGAACAATCGTGGTAGAAAATTTGAGCACATTTTGAATCATGAGGTTTATCTGCTTGTTCACATAGTGAGCACATTTTGAATTAGAAGTTAATAAAAACAAAGTTCGCGTATTACCCAAGAAACAAGTAACGAGAAACAAAGACGAACATTAATGGTACATAATTTCTCGATTTTGTTGAGACAGTATTTCGCGGGGTTTTATTTTCTCGATTTTAATAGGCAGTATCTATTGAATAAACAAAGATCCGCCATTTAGCTGAAAGACTGACAGCAAATTTTACTAAATAAACAAGTTCAAGAGCCTGAAAATGCTCCGGCTAATCCACAATCAAAATTGCCGCAGTGTCACCATTATAAAAAGTCACCACTGTCTCTTGAAAAACTGCGTCACACAACGCGTGACGCTTTCATGAAATAATCCTTCACTTTTCCTTGATGCGTGAGCTTGGGACGCCTGTAGGATAATAAGGGTGAAGATGGGGTAACTTAAAGGTGGGATTTTGCAGTTATGTCTATCTCAAAGACTTTCATCGTCTTGTTATGAAAGAAGTCAACCGTTTTCAGCTGTAGTCGGTCCTTCATGATAATCCTTACGAGCGAACTAAATCTATTGTCTTGCATCGAAATGAAAACGAAGTCATCGTTAATCAATTCACAAGCACGCTTGAGTTGATGTACGATATGAGCGTGAAAAAGATCTGGAGAGTCTGCGTAAACCACAGCGATCCATTGCATGTATTTCACTGTCGGGGAAAGCGTGCCAACACTCAGCGAATTAGGTATAACATCATCACCACATTTCTCCACATAAACCTCGGTACTTTCTTGTAGAATGTGGTCGACGTTGGACCGAAGTCGGTCGAAAGGGCACCAGTTACTGAGGAAAACAGCCGCGTTTCTTCCAAACAACCTGGCTGGCAAAGATTCAATAATATTTGCGAAAAATTCAGTTGAACACGTCTTGATCTCCACCGATTTTTTCAAGGTTATTATTGGTTTGCCGCATAATTCCTTCCGTACGTGATATGCTTCTATTTGCAACTCGAGAAGTTTCCACCGATCCGTCGGAGTTTCAGTGTTGTTGGAGGTAGCAATCCGCTTTCTTTTTAGATTGGGAAAACGATCTTTGGTGTGTTTAGTAAAGTATTCATCGAAATTTTTCAAAATACCGTGACCTCGATAATCTGGATGAGTGCGTCCCGCTCGATAAATCAAAGTGCGGCCATCATCTACTACGAAGTACGCCTCCAATCCGACGAGTTTGCTGCCACAAAAGGCAAGTATGATGGCTATGTTGTCTCTTTGAAGCCACTGGTGGAATGTCAACGGAAGGTAATCATGTCCTGCGTAAATTCCCGCTGAAAGTTTCACTATGTCATCGAAGTCGTCAGCCTCAGCGGCTCGCAATTTTAAGGGTAAAGCATCCATTGCAGGGTGAGTTCGTGGAGCTAATTAGGAATCAAGGGGGAGGGGCCTGGGATCCGGTATCAAAGCCATGGGATCGGGGTCACTGGCAAAATCTGGGATGAAGATCACTTTGGACTTGTAGAAATAGCACCCCAAATCCAGAGATCACTTAAACGGTAATTTTGATTTTTTTAAACTGGTGTAGCATAATGTAGCTGCAAAGAACAATTACGACCAACAGCTAGCTATCGTGCTAAATATTAAATATCTATCTGGCGTGGCATGTCCACCAATCGTTCGATTGTAAATGACACATACAAGGTTTCTCAGGTGTCATCGCATCCCATATCGGTTGAAATCGCTGGTGATTTCGGTTTGCGACCATATCGCGCCATCCGTGCAGTCCTCTGCTTTCTTCTCTTTGCGCATTATGACATTGCCTTTGTCCAGGGGGGAAACTTGGTACGGGAAGTTCGTTTGACCCTCATTGAATTAATTTATGTCAGTTGATGTTTTGCTGGACAATCACCATGACTTATCAACGCCATATTGTATAACCTATTTTCCTGTCTTCCTTATTTAACAGGTCACGTCCCGCCCTTGAGTCACGGGGTTAGTCCCAGAAACACAGACAAAAGCGGTAAGTGCGAATTCACATTTGTGCATATTAAGTCCATTAACCTTATCAGCATTTAAACACAACTTGAATCAAACGAAATAAACAGACTGTTGATCTTCCTTGAAGCCTTGCTATACCCCAGTTTTGCTAAGCATAAGCATGGCACAGCAGAGAGAATAGGTTTGAAATTCCATCTCCTATTGAAAGAAGTGCGATTTGATGTACTGGGAATGATTCCCTTAATTAACAAGATTCGACTTTGTATGGAAAGATAAATCACAATCCCAAGGAGGTTTTAGTTTTCAAGAAAGTCTAGCTGTCAATCAAGATCCAAAGAAGGATACCCCAGAATTAGAAGCTATTATAATTAAATGTAACAATGCAGTCTCAATCATCAATGATCAGCTACTTGTATCATCCTCTCAGTTCTATACAAAGACTGTCAGGGAATATTAGTTACGAATTAAGTCATGAATTAAATGCCCTAGTAAATATTAATTATGTCACCACATTGTTATTGATTACATTAGAGAGTGGGACATATTTCATAACATTGTAAACAAAGTCTGTATGCACGCATTTATTCCACCTAATAATGAACATAAAACATGCTGTTGGGTAATAAGAATTAAATATAGATGTATTACAAGAGTTTGGCTTGGGATTTTACTGTACACATTGTAATGATCAGCGGTATTACATGTTATGGACATGCACATGTAGAGTATATGAGCATCGTTTTGTAAAAGAGGTTGGATTTTTAAATTATAAAAACTGTTATCAAAATCCATTGTGTTTTTGTATAAAGAATATTACACTTATGATTATAGGAAAAATACCAGTGGGTAGTTATGTGAGGCAAACTATGAATACTGTATAAGACTGTTAAGCCCCGTCTACACGTCGAGCAATTCTTGTGGTAACTGTATGTGGCAATTTTTATTTGCCTGTGTAGATGGCTCGACAAATATTTGTCGTTAATTTGCGTCACTAATAATTTTGCGCAGCGGAGATGCTCATGGAAAGGAAAAAAGCAAGATGGCGAAAGTCAGAAGACGTGCCAGACGTGTTACAGCTGTAGGCGCGTTTGTCACATTTTATGTGGCATCTCATCTACCTGGACAATTTTTTTATGTGGCAATTTTTACTTGCCACATAAAAACTAACATGCCAGCTTTTCAGCAAATGCAATTGTCACATAAAAATTGGTCATTTTTCATCATCTACACAGGCAAATAAAAATTGCCACATAAAAATTGCCATATAAAAATTGCTCGTGTAGATGGGGCTTTAGACTGTTACAGATTGTTGGAACATTTGAGCTGTTGTAATGAGAAATTGTTAGAATGTCGGCAGTGTTCGTTGAATATAAATCTGTTTGAAAAGAAGGTTGTTTACAGTCCTGTGGAGTCTGTAGAGATTCCACAACAAAGACTGCTGAATAGGATCTGAATCAAAAGGGAAAATGTTGTACAGATAGATTTCAACCCAAATGTGCTATCTATCTCTGATCTGGAACAGGGAACTCCTGACAACAGGAAAACTATTCCAAGGTTTTCATCTAGCTTTGGCTACTCCAATATCATTTTAAGTAACCGCACCAGAATAACTTAGAACTAAAGGTCCTCAATAGATTTGATAATCACAGGTCCTACGATGGGCTATAACAAGGCTGGTATTTTGGATCCTGGCATCTCGGATCATCATCTTGTTTATCTGCAAAACTCTATTTAGACAGGGTAGCCCATTCAGCTTGAAGGCTGGTATCTATAGGGGCTCTGTTTCATAATACAATTATGATTACTTTCCTATTTCCTAATATGTTAAATTTTATCTCATTTCATATCACAAGGTAATCAGAGGTAACTAATTCTCAGATCATGGATGAACTTGGATATAAGGAAGGCTATGAATACAAATATTTAAAACTTTGACAAACCAATCCTGGCAATTAAAAATTATGGAACTGCTACAAGCAGTTCAAGCAATCCAAGCAGAAACAAAATGGTAGCAGCAAACTGGTTCAATCTTTATCATAAATCAAGCTCATCTAATGAGGTTAAGAAACAAGATTCTAAGAGAAATAAAACCAGAAAGTTGACTCAGTTCAGGAAAAAAATAAGGGATTACCGGTACTATCGATATCAAAGTCTGAATAGCATTTGCAACAGTAGCCTTGGATCTAACAAGAGACATTAAGATCAACTCTCTAATGATACAAGTTTTAATTTTAATTCCAATGGTTACCTCCTCCCTACATAGTTTTTCTGTAAATTTCATTTGATATAAGTTTCACTGGAGAGGCTTTGCATAACGTTTGATTCAAATCGCCACCGGTGGCGATTTGACTCTGAGTGGTGGCGAGTTGACCGTGACCCATTTTTCCGACCCCTTCCTTTAAAGGTGGGATTTTACGGTTATGTCCTTTTCATAAATCTTTACGGTCTTATCATGGTATTGGTCACATGTTTTCAACTGTACCTGGTCCTTCACGGTAATTCTTACGAACGAACTAAATATCTTGTCTTGCATCGAAATGAAAACAAAATCATCGTTAATCAATTCACAAGCACGCTTGAATTGATGTCCGATGTGAGCTTGAAAAAGATCTGGAGAGTCTGTGTAAACCACAGCTATCCAATGTATGTATTTCACTCTCGGGGAAAGCGTGCCAACACTCAGCGAATTAGGAATAACATCATCAGCACATTTCTCCACAAAAATCTCAGTACTTTCTTGTAGTATGTGATAGACGTTGAACCGAAGTCGGTCGAAAGGGCACCATTTACTCAGGAAAATAGGGTTTTTGGTGAACAGCCTGGCTGGTAAAGATTCAATAATATTGGCGAAATAATCTGGTGCACATGTCGTTATCTCCACCGAATTTTTTAAGGCTTTTGCCTTAGGTTTGCCACAGAATTCCCTCCCGATGTGATATGCTTCCATGTGCAACTCGAGAAGTTTTCTCCCATCCAGAATTTTATTGTTATTGCTGGTAATAAGTCGCTCCCTTTGTAGAATAGGGAACCAATCTTTTGCGTGTTTAGTGGAGTGTCCAGTGAGCTTTTTAAAAATACCTTGACCGCGGTAATCTGGATGAATGCGTCCTGCTCGATGAATCAAAGTACGGCCATCATCCACTACGAAGTACGCCTCCAATCCGACGAGTTTGCCGCCACATTAGGCAAGTATGATGACTATATTGTCTCTCTGAAGCCACTGGTGGAATGTCAGCGGAAGATAATCATGTCCTGCGTAAATTCCCTCCGAAAGTTTCACTATTTCATCGAAATCGTCAGCCGTGGCGATTCGAAATGTTAAAATTACTGTATTCATTTGTGGGTGTCGGGCGGGTCGCGGTTAAAAGGGACGACTCAAAAGGACATTAAATAGAG